TTCTTTTCCGTATTATTATTACGAACACGATTCGGAATGCCCGAATTTACATTTGAAATTTTAGGAGAGGCAATATTCGAACCAGCTTTATTTAATGATCGTATACCAGAGGTTGAGGCATTAGTAGCAGATGATTCAGCAGAACTATTGCTTATTCGACTTATAGATCTTGGACGAGTACCACCACTTGTTATAGTCTGTGACATAGGACTATATATGCGAACGCCACGAGTTGGAGAGGCAATCCGTGAAGGTGATACAGCATCAACAGACGAAGTAGTGCTCTCTTCAGTGGAACTATTACTCATAACACTCATTGATCTTTGTCGGCCTGGGGATGGGATTGATGTATGGGAATCAACTCTATTAGGAAGAGCCATCCTTGAAGGAGATGTAGCATGAGAACCTGCTCGACTGGGAGCACGAAGTCCTGAAGTATTTGACGGTCTCCGTATTCCAGAAGTTCCAGATTTTGCACTTCCTGCAGAACGAACCGAAGTATATGAACCATTTGACATTGTCTCATATTCATCTGGATCAGCAACTGATGAAGCTCTAGATGAGGTAGGAGAAAGAGGAGACGGACCAAAATGTGGACTGAAAGCAGTTTTTGGTAATCCGGTTGGAATTCCGGATTTTCCACCTGAAAGTGTTGGGTACGGTGAGGGCACCGGAGATGGAGATATAGGTTTCAAAATTGGAGTAATTTGTGTGTCTAATGACATGTCAAACTGATCTTCTTCATCGTCATTTTTTGATTCCATCTAAACCATTCGTAACCAAAAAATAAATAAATATTATTATTACTAAAATAATAAGTATATATATGTAAATATATAATAAATCTTACATCATATCCACCGGGATTAAAAATATCATCTGCTTCTTGACCATCAATTTCGAGAGGTGTATCACTTAAATTCTCATCTTCTTCCGCGATCATGCTAACTGGTCTGTTAGAAATTGCCAGAGTTGGTGTAATTTGTGGGTCTGGTGAGGGACGACGTAAAGGAGTTGTTGATGGTGATAAGTGTTTTTCAAGCTTAAAATTTAAAAAAGTTATGAGTTACTATATGATTATATAAATTCATTTTTAATGAACTCATGAAATATGTACCTCTGCTGGATCTATTTTCCAAAAACTGTCATCACCATCGTCCAAACCATCATCATTCAATTGAATTGCATTAGAATCCAAGTCACTACCTTCGGCTATGAGCGCATCTAAATCCACTGAACCATCTGTATCTGAATCAGCAAAAGAAGTTTTATCTTTTGGACGTTTTATACGAGTAATTGTACTGAATATAAAGTATATTAAAGGCTAAATAAATAATGTAATATTTCACGAAATAAGTTTTTTTTTTTTTTTTTGCTACTTACGTCTTTTCATCTGAACTTTCAGAATTAACAACAACAGTAGGTGTTTCTTCAGGATTATCATTTGTAGTAGTTTTCTTTGTTGGTACCATAATAACTATATCATCATCAGGATTCTGCTCAGTGGATTGACGCTTTCTCTGTTTCTTCAAATTTTTTAATTCCCTTCTCTGCAAATCGCGATCTGCAGCAGCTTTTTGACGTTTTTCGTCAAAATTTAAATTGCTATCTATTTGATCAGTTTGATGATTAGAACTGTCTAATGGCAAGTTTTCTGGGTCTGATAAATTTATGATTCCTTCCTTAATTTGCTTACTAAACAATTTAGAAAAGATATAAAAAACGATAAAATGTTAGTAAATATATCATAGTTTCATTAATATTTTATGGACGACTATTAATCTTAGCCACATTTAATGGTGTTGACAAATCATAATAACTACCTTGAAATTGGAGATAAAAGTGATTGGCTCTCAGTTCCTATTAAATCCATTAAATCCGGATCTAATGCAGGATTATTGTTGTAAGAGTCTTTATGTATATATGGTTGTTTTTGAAGAAAAAACACTTTAAGACTCTCTCGTTTCGTTTGTAGTACATCATGTTTCTTTTCTTCAGACAAATCGGGTATATTTTCGACAAGTTCAACTGAATGAATAGACTTATCAGAGGAAGTAACATCATTAGAAGTCGAATTTTCTAGTGGGATAGGTATTGAATTATTGTCGTCTGGAAGTATAGGTATTTGCTGTTGGATATCTGTATTTAAAATGTTGGCAGAGGACTGATTCTGAACATTAACAATATCGGGGTTATTCTGCGTACACTCTCCTGACAACAAATTAATATCACTATTGTTCAGTGTATTATTGTGTGTATCTTGATGCACCTCTTGCGTCACTTGCTTATTGATAGGCTTTTCGGAGCAAGAGTCTATGTTGGATGTGTTTTCAGGTGAAGTAGGTGAAGGTAGCTCATTTTGCTTATTTTTTTTTGCATTTTCTTCTTCTAGTTTTCGTACAAGTAATAACTCGCGCATTTCGTTCTGAGAAATCAAAGTTACTTGAATATTTGTTTCCGACTTTGTGTTCAACAATAAGGTTAAAACTTACATACCAAAAAAGGATCCTGTAGACAGTAAAGGCTGGTTATGATGTTTAATACAATAGTAGGCTCTTAAGTGGTGAAAGGTAAATATAAAAAAAATAACATATATACATGAACAACTTAAGACGAAAAAAAACAATAGGGACGAGTCTTGGGTTTATATTTACTCTAAAGGCCTACTTTATATCGAGTTAATTTAAATTTTATACATATAAATATAGAATATATAATTAAAATTGGAACCAATAGTAAAAAAAATAAAGGTATTTACAAAATATAAATACAAGAGCGTGTACAAGGTACGCACAATATGTTATATACCACCACTGTACGTGACAATTAAGACACGTGAAATTTTCACGGTCGCAACCGTAACACTATTGGTTTTAGGGTTCATGAAACTTTTTTTGTCATCTAGTCATCTAGAAAGATGCTTGCAAATGCGGCCGAGCGTAAAAAATATTCCGTAAAGTCCATTGTCGGGACGATCATCTTGAAGAAATATTTACCTTATCTAAAATCCATTTAATATAGCATAATTTTTCCTCAAAAAAAAAAAAAAAAAAAAAAAAAAACCAAAAACTTATCATTAATGCATCAGATTCAGCCATGTTGAATAAAACCTTATTGTGCTTTCCTTTATTCATGAATTGTTTATTTACGAATAACGATAACATGAAACATCCGCGGGCTCTCTTCAGGGAATATTTATGAACGCCTACCATCCCCGTGATTTACATATACCAAATTTGTCTAAAAAGCTAAAATTTTTCGAACAATCGAATTTTTTCACAAATTCGTAGAACTCGATCAAGAAACCTTTGCTCAATGTTTAATAGCCAGTGTTGTTAATGGAATTCAAAATTAACAGCACTACTGGGTTTTCCATTAAAAAATTCTAAAATTCGCTAGAAGCAAAAAAATTCTTATCGAATAAACTTTGCAATAATGTTAGATATTACGATTAAAAGCATTAAAGCTGATTAGACTTTCTAAAAGATAGCGATAGTGGAATCTTTTTTTAACGTTAATGTGATAGAGATGATCAGTAGTGTTCTTAATCACATGAAAATCTGATCCTCAAAAATTCCGGAAAGTCTACGGACACGTACCAGTCACATGACCCTAACCTAACTAAATGTTATGGACACGTACCAATCACCAATCCAAGTTTAGGGTACGTGCGATTTCACGTGTCTCGTACGTGTCCGTAGACTTTCCCCAAAAATTCATTGCTTTTTTATAAGATCACGTGATATCAATTATATGCATTTTTATAAAATCGTATGTATGGGATTCTCAGTACAATCAGACCTCTCTATATATGCATCCCTTGGAACCGATCATAAGCATGCATTTATAGAGGGTGTGCGTTTAGAGGGTAGCCTTTATAAGTTATTATAGTCGAAATTGAGGTATAGGATGTAATTATGGTGGGTGTGCACTTATAGAGCATGCATACATACATGGAGACACCTAACAAACGTAAACAGTAAAACAAGATGATGCTAAGTTAAAATCAAACCTCATCAGTCAACTTTTTTCAAAGATTCATAATAAATCACCTTTTAAACCTTTTAGCCATTTTAAAAGTTATAGTAGATTTGTTAGTATTCAGGAGATTTCTGGGGATGCGTGAACTAATGGTCTCTCTTTCCCTTATTTCGTTAAACCGTTATACGAACCTCTACTATTAAGTAACGTGAAAAAATAACGAACGAAACACTTAATGAAAATAGATATCAATAAAATAACTATTCTAAGCTGTAGAAGAAAGAATCGTTAAAATGTTTAGGGATCTCCGGGTAGTTAAGGATCGAACGACTGGTCGAATAATGGACAAGGATGCAAATTTTCGCCTATATTTAAATATGTACGTACATCCGTAGATACTAGAATATTCTATATGATCCAAGGTAAGTTTTTGGGATCGATATGTATTGTACCGGGGATATGAATTAATCCGAGTACGTTTAAATTTTAGCGTTAGTTACCAAATTACATATATGCTTAAACCCGAAGAAGTTTTTTTAAACCCCTGATTAGTGATGCATAACTTACCATAACTTTTGCCGTAACTTGTAACATAATAAAGTTATGACAAAAATGTATATCAAAAGCATAACTTTTATATTATCATAGGAGATTACACGTCTTGTTATTTGGACCTGAACAAAACTAGCATGTTACGATTTTACTTTTTAATACAAAATAAATAATATTAATGGTAAAAGTTTCGACTTTCACGTGAACGAGTAACCCCAGTATCATCACCAAAATGAAAATTATTTTCATGCCCGCAGTTTTTGTATCTAGCCAATCAGATAATCTCAAAAATCAACCTAGAGGTTGGAACCGGTTTTATGAATTTTATGATATTTTAGAATTTATTGGATAAATTTCCAAGAAATCACAAAATTTCATGTGATAACCCGCATTATTAAACCCGGTTCCAACCTGTAGATCAACAAAAATGGTAGCCGGACAGATCTGCAGGGTACATGTTATTATGTGATTCGGATTTGATTATGGACAATTCAATTTCGATCACATCAGAAAATGTCTTTAGCGTATTTACGAGTTGTTATCAAACCAAAAGAATTTTTTTAATGAATAACATGAATCGCTTAAATTTTCATTGTTTATTTGTAGCCAAATTCGATTTTTTTACAAGCATTTGTTTTTTATTTCTATGTTGGAGCTTCATTTAATACTATAAAAAGCGTTTATGAGACTAAGCCAATAACCCAAAGGTTATAATGAATGATAATTTATTTAAATTATCAAAAAAATATTCAAGATGCTAAAATAAATTGTTTTATCCGTCATCTTACTATGATCAGACTGCCAAATAACTTTGGTTATTTTTCAAATAACTCCATTATCGGCTGTAAGTCAGATAAATAAGTTATTTGGCAATCTGATCATAGTAAGATGACGGTAAAATTTTTGGACTGTTTTAGCCTGTACCTGGGGTATAGAGGTTTCTCAATTTAGTTAGCACGTGATAGCTATTTTAAATTTAGTTTATTTATTTAGGGGTTATAGGTTAAGAGCCTATACCCCGGGTATAGTTTAAGGACGCCCAAAATTTTTTTATTCGTAATCAAAATTGCCAATAATCAAATGCCAACCCGTGATTACTCGTGAAAATCAACCAATCAAATTACAATATTTTTATATTCGTTTTGCAATACTACTTTGAAAACTATGAATGGTTTTTACGGCAATTCTTTAGTGAAACGTTACGTCCTAAATAGTACTTTAAAGTTCATAAATAAGTTACCCGGGCAATTGATCTACATCAGCCAATCAGATGAATGTCGTCCTATGAGTATTGTTATGAAACACAGACACGGACAATAAACAGTCTGAGATAGGATATGTTCATCAAAACATTGATGTTTCAGACAATTATAATAGGAGAGGGTCAAACCTGCTACGTTGATCACCTTAGAGTAAAATTCGTGTTTTTGCAAAAGTATCGATTTTGATAGTCAGGATAGCTTTTTTGATAGATCTAAAATATATCTTAAATTTATGGTACGTTCTTAATGCATTTTTAAGAATTAACTAATTAAATTACTGTGTAACATTATGCTCAAATTTTAATTGGCTAAAAACAAACCAATAATTTAAACTAGAAAGATTTTTGTATAGTTGGTTGTTTAAATTAATTTTATCTTTTAAAAAAACAAACTTATAAAAAATAAACAAAAAATATATATATAGAAAGTTTTATTAAAGTTGTAGAATTTTATTATTAAAAATAAGCAAAATTAAAAAAAGTTAGCATAGTAATAACTAGAGTTTCTCAAATCTAAATCAAATTAAATATTAAATCAATTTGATTTGATTTAAAAATTTTAGATTTGAATTTAATTTGATTAAATATTTGATTTGATTTGAAAAAATTTAAAATATTAATTAATAACAATAAAACTTAATTATAAAAAATTTATTATAAAGATATAAGTTTTATAGTTTAGCAATTAAGCTTTTATACTCTTATAGTCAAAATCAACAGTTCAAGTCTGGTTAAAAGTAAAATTCAAAGAATTTAGCTTTCATAATTTAAAAAAAAAACTTAAAAAATCTTAATACTAAAAATCTTCTAAAACAACAATGAAGTTATTATTTATATTAAATATTAAAAACAATAATCTTGATTAGTAATAGTAATATTTTTTTTACTAATGTTCAAGATTCTTATAATAGATAAGTTATTATTGCAGAGCTAATTAATAAACAACATTTATTTAAATTAATTAATATATATATATTTCTAAATATCAAAAGCAAAACTAGTTTTTTTAATAATTAAAATTTTCAAATTAATAAAAAATATATAAACATTTTAGCAAAAGATTTTAATATAAATTATAATTTTCAGATTAACAAAATAAGTCAAGTACCTTCTATTAGTAATCTTATAAGAGTAATGCTTAGTAATCTTATTACAGAATTTATAAATATAGTTAGCATTATATAAAAAGAAAAACTTTTTATAATTTTTTATTAAAATACTAGAAATAGTTAAAAGATAGTTACAAAACTTAATTATATTTTTATCAACACAAATTATAGACACTGTTATAAACATATAACTCAGTTTAGTAATTTAAACTACTTATTAGTAGAATACAAACTTTAGTTAATATCTTGTTCTACAAAGACTAAGCAAAAGAAATTTGATAAAAATAGTTAAAACAATCTATTATTTAAAGCAAAAATAATAAAAAAAATTTAAAATATCACAGATTTTTTCATATTTTTTTTTTCTCTTTAGCAGCCTTGCTATTAATCTTTATTTTTTATTTTTTATTTTTTTTTCGGTATTAAGATGACCTCTTTGGTCTGAGCTTTTTATTAATACTTATAGCAGGTACATGTTTTATATAGACATATCTATAATGAACTATTAGACGAGTG